TCCATGAGGCCTGTCTCCCCCACACTGCTACGCGGATGACACAACGTTGACACCTGGGCCCATGAAGGCCCTCACGGCACCCGAATCTCCACTCGCCTCTCATGGGGACACGATCGCCCCCTTAGCCTCTAAAACTCCCCAAATGCTCAGAAGACCTTTATGCAAAACGTTCACAAGCATCTCCTCCCTTTTCATTGTCACTAAACACACATTTGTTCAGACCGTTTGTTTTAGGATAAAAATGTGTGTTCATTGAGCACACGTAAGTGCTTCTGTGAAATCCTAGGTGTGAAAGGCTCACGGTGGCGACCGAGCCTTTGTGAGAACATGTTTATCTCAACATCCAAAGCTAAGAGCCAGGAAGGAGGCCCAGAATGCCCGTCCTCACCCCGCAGGCGCCGGGTGCAGAGCGTGGCGGCTTCCTCCCTGTTTCACAGGCCCTAACCGGACGCGCTGCAGTGGATTTGCAACCCGCCCCCCTCATCTCAGGAAACGACTTGGTTCTCTCGGTCCACAGAAGGCCAGGGAGGGAGGGAAGAGGCTCCTCACAAGAGTTTCCATGGTTGCAGAATCTCAAAGCTTCCACACTTTCCTTCCTCCTCACAAGGAGATTCTCATCGGTGTGGAATCTGCGGTCCCCGGGCAAGCTCAAGACTCCCGAAGGAAACCTTCAGAAACCCTGAGCCCCCACCCTGAGGGTTCTGGGTGCTTCTCTGTCTTGCAACATGTTTGTCAGGAATTCTAATGAAACGTTAAGATGAGCACACCTGTGTCTGTGTGTACCTGTGTGTGTGTATGTGTGTACCTGTGTGTATGTGTATGCACGTGTGTGTATGTACCCATGTGTGTATGTACCTATGTGTGCGTATCCACCTGTGTCTGCACCTGTGTGTGTGTGCCCCATGGGTGTATGTACCTGCCTGTGTATCTACCTATGTATGTGTGCTCCTGTGTATGCACATACATGTGTATCCACCTGTGTCTGCACCAGTGTGTGTATGCCCCGTCTGTACCTGTGTACGTGTGTATCCACCTGTGTCTGCACCTGTGTGTATGCCCCGTCTGTACCTGTGTACGTGTGTGTATCCACCTGTGTCTGCACCAGTGTGTGTATGCCCCGTCTGTACCTGTGTACGTGTGTGTATCCACCTGTGTCTGCACCTGTGTGTATGCCCCGCGTGTGTATGTACCTGTCTATCCTATGTGTGTGTGCTCCCGTCTGTATGCACCTATGTGTGTATCCACCTATGTGTGTATGCCCCGCATGTGTACGTACCTGTGTATCCTATGTGTGTATCCAATGTGTATATTCACCTACATGTGTATGCCCTTGTATGCGTATGCACCTATGTATGTGTATGCACTGCGTGTATTAACCTGAGTGTGTGCACCTGTATCTGTGTATGCAGCTGTGTATGCACCTGTGTGTGTATATCCACCTAAGTGTGTACCTGTATTGTGTATGCCCCGTGTGCATGGGTACCTGTGTGCATACACCTATGTGTGTGTATCCACCTAAGTGTGTACCTGTATGTGTATGCCCCGTGTATGTACGTATGTGTGTGTGCACCTATGTGTATATCCACCTAAGTGTGTACCTGTATTGTGTATGCCCCGTGTGCATGTGTACCTATGTGTGCATGCACCTATGTGGGTATCCACCTATGTGTACCTGTGTGTATGCCCCATGTATGTACCTATGTGTGTGTGCACCTATGTGTGTATACAATGTGTATATCCAGCTACGTCTATGCCCTTGTGTGCGTGTATCCACCTGTCTGCACCTGTGTGTATCCACCTATGTGTGTGTGCATGTACCTATGTGTGTATGCACCTATGCGTGTGTGTATCCAATGTGTATATTCACCTGTGTGTACACGTGTATCTGTGTATGCAACTGTGTGTATGCACACATCTATGTGTATGTACCTGTGTGTTCGCACGTGGGTAATTCACCTATGTGTATCTACCTATGTGAGTGTATACCCCTGTATGTATGTCTGTATGCACCTGGTGGTGTGTCTGTACCTATGTGAGCATATGCACCTGTGTGTGCATGTACCTCTGTGTGTGTGCTCCTGTGTGTGAATGCACCTGTGTGTATGCACCTGTGAGTATGCACCAACTGTGTGTGTATCCACCTGCCTGTACCTGTGTGTATGCACCTACATGTGTGTGTATCCACCTATGTGTGTACCTGTGTGTATGCCCTGTGTGCGTATGTACCTGTGTGTGTGTGTACCTATGCGTGTATCCACCTGTGTATGTACCTGTATGTGTGTATGGCCATGTGCATGTGTACCTATGTGTGTGTATGCACCTATATATGTGTATACACCTATGTGTGCACCTGTGTGTGCATATGCATTGCACGCACACACATACACACACACATACACACACATGTTTATCTCCAAATAGCCCGTTCTAACGTTCTAGAATGCAGGCATGTGGTCTGATAAAAACACTGGATACCAAAACTGCAAAGTAGCTTCCAAAAATTAAAGAACAACTAAATAAATGGACGTATTTTTTTTTTTTTTTAGATGGAGTCTGCTCCGTCGCCCAGGCTGAAGTGCAGTGGCAGTGTCTTGGCTCACTGCAACCTCCGCCCCCCGGGTTCAAGCCATTCTCCTGCCTCAGCCTCCCGAGCAGCTGGGATTACACGCACCCACCACCACGCTCAGCGAATTTTTTGTATTTTTTTTTAGTAGAGATGGGGTTTTGCTTTGTTGGCCAGGCTGGTATCAAACTCCTGACCTCACAATCCGCCCGCCTCAGCCTCCCAAAGTGCTGGGATTATAAGCGTGAGCCACTGCGCCCAGCCGAGAAATTTCAAATGTTATAGACGAGTTCCAAGGGAACATTCTTAATATCTCAGGATTACGTGGTATCCTCAGGACACACGACGCACCAGGCTGGAGTGCAATGGCGTGATTTCGGCTCACTGCAACCTCCGCCTCCCGGGTTCAAGCCGTTCTCCCGCCTCAGCCTTCCGAGTAGCTGGGACTACAGGTGGCTGCGACCAAGCCCAGCTAATTTTTGTTTTTTTTTTGAGACGGAGTTTCGCTCTTGTTACCCAGGCTGGAGTGCAATGGCGCGATCTCGGCTCACCGCAACCTCCGCCTCCTGGGTTCAGGCAATTCTCCTGCCTCAGCCTCCCGAGTAGCTGGGATTACAGGCACGCGCCACCGTGCCCAGCTAATTTTTTGTATTTTTAGTGGGGACGGGGTTTCACCACGTTGACCAGGATGGTCTCGATCTCTTGACCTCGTGATCCACCCTCCTCGGCCTCCCAAAGTGCTGGGATTACAGGCACGCACCACCATGCCCAGCTAATTTTTTTGTATTTTTAGTAGAGATGGGGTTTCACCACGTTGACCAGGATGGTCTCGATCTCTTGACCTCATGATCCACCCGCCTCGGCCTCCCAAAGTGCTGGGATTACAGGCTTGAGACACCGCGCCCGGCCTAATTTTTGTATTTTTAGTAGAGATGGGGTTTCAGCACGTTGGCCAGGCTGGTCTTGATCTCTTGACCTCGTGATCCACCCGCCTCGGCCTCCCAAAGTGCTGGGATTACATCCCAGGTTCATTAACCAAGCCGAGCAGGAGACGCAGCCCAGAAGCAGGTGACAAAAAGCAACATAGAGCAGTGGAAAGAAACTCTGAGACCAGCCTGGGACCGTAACTGTGTAAATTAAAAGTAAAACCCGAAGCCCCCGAAACCGAGCAAACAGAGCCCCCCGCTCTTGATCCTTGGCCAAGAGAAATCTTTTTGGGTTTTTTTTTTCTTTTTGAGACAGAGTCTTGCTCTGTTGCCCAGGCTGGACTGCAGCCTCCGCCTCCCAGGTTCCAGTGATTCTCCTGCCTCAGCCTCTCGGGTAGCTGAGATTACAGGTGCCTTACATAGAGGCTGCGCTTCTGACCTGCAGTGAATAATCACCTTCTAAGAAATACGTGGCATTTCTTCTACGAAATACGGTAGTATAGGCTGGGCACACGGGCTCACACCTATAATCCCAGCACTTTGGGAGGTCGAGGCGGGCGGAACACGAGGTCAGCAGATGGAGATCACCCCGGTCAACACGGTGACACCCCGTCTCTAGCAAAATAGAAAACATTAGCCAGGCGTGGTGGCACAAGCCTGGAGTCCCAGCTACTCAGGAGGGTGAGGCAGGGGAAGTCACTTGAACCCAGGAGACAGAGGTTGCAGTGAGCACAGATCACGCCACGGCACTCCAGCCTGGAGACAGACAAGACTCCGTCTCAAAAGAAAAAAAAAAAAAAAAAAAAAAAGAAATAAAGTAGTATTTTGGGAGGCCAAGGAGGGAGGACTGATTGGGCCTAGGAGGTCCAGAGCTGTCTGGGTAACATGGCAAGCCCTCATCTCAAAAAAAAAAAAAAAAAAAAAAAGCGGGGCGTGATGGTGCACGCCTATAATCCCAGCTAATGGGGAGACTGAGGCAGGAAGACGAGCTGTAGTTGAGCCACTGCACTCCTGCCTGGGAGACAGAGCAAGAGCCTGTGTCCAAAAAAATAAATAAAAAAAATAACATTAAAAAAGGGGCCGGGCACGGCTGCTGATGTCTGTAATGCCAGGACTTTGGAGGCCGAGGTGGGCAGATCACGTGAGGTCAGGAGTTCGAGACCAGCCTGCCTAACACGGTGAAACCCCGTTTCTACCAAAAATAAAGCAATGATCCGGGCATGGTGGCGCGTGCCTGTCACGCATGGCAGGTACTCGGGGAGCCCGAGGCAGGACAAACCCTTGAACCTGGGAGGCGGAGGTTGCGGTGAGCCGAGATCGCCCCACATTCATCAATTGTGTGACTCAGTGACGGAATGTTCACTACGTGGGACTTTGGATGGGGGCGGGGGGGACGGGTGGAGAGACTGACTATTAAACCGTTCTGGGGTCTCACGCTCTCCCGCCAGCCTCCCCCACTCTGCGGCCAGAGCCACGTGCGCGGGTGTCAGCAGAAGGAAGGGGAAACTTACTACCCTCGTGCCTGCCGATCTACGGGTGCCTCGAGCGTGGGGCGCGTTCCTGGGGCTGCAGGCGGCGCCCAGGGGCAGGGCGGGGCCCGGGCCGGGGGTCCCCGGGGGGTCGAGCCCGCTGGATCTGGGGGTGGCGGGCGGGGCTGCGGGCAGCTCCACGTCCCCCGTGGCCGGCTGGTCTCGCGGGGGCGCCTTGATCCGGCGCAGACAGTCCTGCAGCATTCGCTGCGTGCCGGCCTCGCTGAGCCAGCACAGGAACAGCTCGTCCACCTTCATCTTCAGCACCGGCTGCAGGATCTTCCCGGGCGGCATGGCGGGGGCTGGGCCCGGGGCGCCCCCAGACTCCCCCAGACGCCCCGCCCGTCCCCGGGCGCTTCGGTTCCGCCCGGACGACCCTCGACGATGCGGGGCCCGGCGCCGGGGAACAGAACCCACGACTCGGCAACTGCGGGGACTCGCGGGGCGCGGGGACCCTGCAGAGGGGGGCGCGGTCCTGCCCGCGCTGCTCAAAGGAGCTTCAAAACGGGCGCGCCGGACGCGCTCCCAAACATGGGCGCCCGCGTTGCGTCACTGCGTCGCGTCATCGCGACGACGTCATCACGACGCGACGGTGCCGCACGCCATCCGCGGACCTCGGAGCCTTTGCAGGAGGCTTTGCTGGGGTCCAAGCGGCTGCGGTGAGAACGGGGGAGACGCTGTGGCGGCCATGCAGCCAGAGATCTTTTGGCGGTTAGTATTTTTAGAGGCGCGGCCGATGGCGGCGAAGGGGCCTGAACAGCTGCGGAGACGCGAGCATGCGCAGTCCCTGCCTGCCACAGGGAGGGGAGGGGAACCCTGGGCATGGAGCATGCGCCGTGCGTGCCGGTAGAGACGAGGCGTTCGGGAGGTTGGTGCGATGAGCACGCGCAGTGCCTGCCCGCGGGGCGCGAGCCTCAGGCCGGGAGATGTGTGAGCGGGCGGGGCTGTGGGGGGGGGGGGGGGGATAGGACTGCGCCTGCGCAGTGGGAGGCACCGGGGACGGGAGGGTTGCGGGGTGCGCGCCCCCGAGCACGGGAGCGAGCGTGCGTACTGCGGGAGCGCGCGAGGCGAAGGCAGTTTTCAATACAAAGCTCCTCTTCAGGCCAGTCGAGGCGGCTCAGGCCCGTCATCCCAGCACTTTGGGAGGCGGAGGTGGGCGGATCACCCGAGGTCAGGAGTTCGAGACCAGCCCGACCAACATGGAGAAATTCCGTCTGTATTAAGAAAAAAAGTAAATAAATAAATTATATATATATATATATATATATATGCTCCCTTTATGTCAGTTTTATGTATCAAACAGTCAAGACAGATCAGAGGGGTCTGACGCCTTTAAACGCCGCAGTGTGAACTGATTTCAAAACTGCAAAAATCCTTCATGTCCAGGGAGGTGACGTTAGTTATTTAAATGACTTTTCCCATTGCATATTTCCCGTTCCTGCCTTTTTTTTTTTTCTTTTTTTTTAAGTCGGAGTTTTTCTCTTGTCACCCAGGCTGGAGTGCAATGGCGCGATCTCGGCTCATCGCAACCTCCGCCTCCTGGGTTCAGGCAATTCTCCTGCCTCAGTTTCCCCAGTAGCCGGGATTACCGGCGCACACCACCACGCCCAGCTAATTTTTTGTTTTTTGTTTTTTGTTTTTTTTTAGTAGAGATGGGGTTTCACCATGTTGCCCAGGGTGGTCTCGATCTCTTGACCTCGTGATCCCCCCGCCTCGGCCTCCCACAGTGCTGGGATCACAGGCTTCAGCCACCGTCTCTTTTTTTAAATTCTCTCTTTCTCTTCATGGACACGGGGGCCTGACTCTGTTTCCCAGGCTGGTCTCAAACTCCCGGCCCCAAGAATTTCGCTCTTGTCACCCAGGCTGGAGTGCAATGGCGGGACCTCGGCTCACCGCAACCTCCGCCTCCTGGGTTCAGGCAGTTCTTCTGCCTCAGTTTCCCCAGTAGCTGGGATCACAGGCACACGCCACCGTGCCCAGCTAATTTTTTGTATTTTTAGTAGAGACGGGGTTTCACCATGTTGACCGGGCTGGTCTCGATCTCTTGACCTCGTGATCCACCCGCCTCGGCTTCCCAAAGTGCTGGAATCACAGGTGTGACCCACCGCCCCAGGCCTACGTTTGACTTTTATTTTTGACACACGGTCTCGCTCTGTGGCCCAGGCTGGAGTGCGGTGGCACGAACCCGGCTCACCGCAACCTCCGCCTTCCCGGGTTCAAGCACATCTCCTGCCTCAGTCTACCCTGTAGGTGTCAGAGGCAGGAAGGAGCAAGCCCAGCCTGAGACACCTTGATCTCAGACTCCTGCTCTCCACTGTGAGGACAGGAGCCATCCTGTTGTTTAAGTTTCCGGGGTGTCCTCACTTGCCGTGGGAGCCCGTGGAGCACACGCTGGTGACGTGGACGTGTCTGTGTCCTCCCGTGTGCGCTGTGACTAGAAACTCCACACACCGTCCTAGAAACTCCACACACCGTCCTTGAAACACCTGACAGACGGGCACGGTGGCTCATGCCTGTGACTTTGGGAGGCCGAGGCGGGCAGATGCCAAGGCCGGGAGTTCGAGACCAGCCTGGCCGACACGGTAAAACCCCATCTCTATTAAAAATACAAAAATCCCCCAGGCGTGGCGGCAGGCGCCTGTAATCCCAGCTACTCTGGAGGCTGAGGCAGGAGAATGGCTTGAACCCGGGAGGTGGAGGTTGCGGTGAGCTGAGATCGTGCCCTTGCAATCCACCCTGGGGGACAGAGTGAGTTGTCTTCCCCCCCCAAAAAAAAACCCAAATAGCGTAGAGGGTCATGTTGGTGAGAACTGACCGGTCAGGGTGCCACGGACACCACCGAACTTCCCCCCTGCAGCCCCCCACACACACACCTGCCACGATGCAGGAGGTCTTCACCTGGGCCTGCGCCATCTGCAAGGGGTTCACCATGTAGACCGGGATGGTCTCGATCTCTTGACCTCGTGATCCACCCGCCTCGACCTCCCAAAGTGCTGGGATGACAGGCCTGAGCCACCGCGCCCGGCCAATTTTTTATTTTCATATATATTTTTTTGACACGGAGTCTCGTCCCGTCTCCCAGGCTGGACTGCAATGATGAGACCTCAGCTCACCACACCTCCGCCTCCTGGATTTAGGCAATTCTTCTGCCTCAGTTTCCCCAGTAGCCGGGATTACAGGCACACATGACCACACCCAGCTAATTTTTTGTATTTTTTTTTTTTTTTTTTTTAGTAGAGACGGGGTTTCACCATGTTGCCCAGGGTGGTCTCGATCTCTTGACCTCGTGATCCACCCGCCTCGGCCTCCCAAAGTGCTGGGATCACAGGCTTCAGCCGCCGTCTCTTTTTTTGAATTGTGTCTTTCTCTCTTCACGGACACGGGCCTGACTCTGTTTCCCAGGCTGGTCTCAAACTCCCGGCCCCAAGAATTTCGCTCTTGTCACCCAGGCTGGAGTGCAATGGCGGGAGCTCGGCTCACCGCAACCTCCGCCTCCTGGATTCAGCAGATTCTCCTGCCTCAGTTTCCCCAGTAGCCGGGATTACAAGCGCGCACCACCACGCCCAGCTAATTTTTTGTATTTTTTTTTTTTTAGTAGAGACGGGGTTTCACCATGTTGCCCAGGAGGGTCTCGATCTCTTGACCTCGTGATCCACGCGCCTCGGCCTCCCAAACTGCTGGGATGACAGGCCTGAGCCACCGCGCCCGGCCAATTTTTTATTTTCATATATATTTTTTTGACACGGAGTCTCGTCCCGTCTCCCAGGCTGGACTGCAATGATGAGACCTCAGCTCACCACACCTCCGCCTCCTGGATTCAGGCAATTCTCCTGCCTCAGTTTCCCCAGTAGCCGGGATTACAGGCACACACGACCACACCCAGCTAATTTTTTGTATTTTTTTTTTTTTTTTTTTTTTAGTAGAGACGGGGTTTCACCATGTAGACCGGGATGGTCTCGATCTCTTGACCTCGTGATCCACCCGCCTCGACCTCCCAAACTCCTGGGATCACAGGCTTCAGCCACCGCCTCTTTTTTTAAATTGTCCCTTTCTCTCTTCACGGACACGGGCCTGACTCTGTTTCCCAGGCTGGTCTCAAACTCCCAGCCCCAAGAATTTCGCTCTTGTCACCCAGGCTGGAGTGCAATGGCGGGACCTCGGCTCACCGCAACCTCCGCCTCCTGGATTCAGCAGATTCTCCTGCCTCAGTTTCCCCAGTAGCCGGGATTACAAGCGCGCACCACCACGCCCAGCTAATTTTTTGTATTTTTTTTTTTTTTTAGTAGAGACGGGGTTTCACCATGTTGCCCAGGGTGGTCTCGATCTCTTGACCTCGTGATCCACCCGCCTCGGCCTCCCAAACTGCTGGGATGACAGGCCTGAGCCAACAAGCCCGGCCAATTTTTAATTTTCATATATATTTTTTTGACACGGAGTCTCGCCCTGTCTCCCAGGCTGGAGTGCAATGATGAGACCTCAGCTCACCGCGACCTCCGCCTCCTGGGTTCAGGCGATTCTCCTGCCTCAGTTTACCCAGTAGCCGGGATTACCGGCGCGCACCACCATGCCCAGCTAATTTTTTGTATTTTTTTTTTTTTTTTTTTAGTAGAGATGGGGTTTCAGCACGTTGCCCAGGGTGGTCTCGATCTCTTGACCTCATGATCCACCCGCCTCGACCTCCCAAAGTGCTGGGATCACAGGCCTGAGCCACCACGCCCCGGCCCTGTGTGACCCACTTTAAATAAACCCCAACCTTGTGTCAGCGCCTGAGCTCGTGTGAGTTCTTCCTCTGCTCATGACCTTGGGTGGCTGACGTGGACCAGAAGCTGCAAGTCACATTCAAACCTCAGTTCTCCCTCCGGACACAGGATTATAGGGGAGCACACCTGACGGACAGAAAGAGGGTGATTGACATAGACGCAGGGAACAGAGACAGGTGACAGGTACGTGGACCATTGATGCATTGATGAATCAGTAGACATTGATAGATGATGGGGGGTGTCTAGGGATCATCAATGACACAAATATAGTTGGGCTGAATATGTAGACAGGTAGATTGATGACAGGTAGATACACACGATGGGCAGGTTGATACGTAGATAGATACAATGGATTGATGATAGGATGGATGGACAGAGACACAGAATGGGTAGATCAATGATAGATGATACGCAGACACGTGGAGGGGTCGATAATAGACCGATAGATGCAATTGATAGGTAGGATGGACGGATAGATACATAGAAGGGACAGATGCATGATAGATGACAGGTAGATAGATGATAGATTGATACATAGATACAATTGGATAGATGGATGGTAGACGAATGGATAGATGAGAGATATGGGTGGATGGATGGATGGATGAGAGATTGGATGGATGGATAGATGAGAGATTGGATGGATGGATGGATGGATGAGAGATTGGTTGGATGGATGAGAGATTGGATGGATGGATGGATGGATGGATGAGAGATTGGATGGATGGATGGATGGATGGATGAGAGATTGGATGGATGGATGGATGGATGGATGGATGAATGGATGGATAGATGAGAGATTGGATGGATGCATGGATGAATGGGAGATTGGATGGATAGATACGTAGAATGGATGAATGATAGTTGATATGTAGATGGATGGATTGATAGACATGGATGGATGGATGGATGAGAGATTGGATGGATGGATGGATGGAGAGATTGGATGGATAGAAACGTAGAATGGATGGATGATAGTTGATATGTAGATGGATGGATTGATAGACATGGATGGATGGATGGATGGATGGATGAGAGATTGGATGGATGGATAGATGGATGGGAGATTGGATGGATAGATACGTAGAATGGATGGATGATAGTTGATATGTAGATGGATGGATTGATAGACATGGATGGATGGATGGATGAGAGATTGGATGGATGGATGGATGAATGGGAGATTGGATGGATAGAAACGTAGAATGGATGGATGATAGTTGATATGTAGATGGATGGATTGATAGACATGGATGGATGGATGGACGGATGGATGAGAGATTGGACAGATGGATGGAGAGATTGCATGGATGGATGGATGGAGAGATTGGATGGATAGATATGTAGAATGGATGGATGATACCTGATATGTAGATGGATGGATTGATAGATATGGATGGATGGATGGATGGATAGATGAGAGATATGGATGGATGGATGGATGAGAGATTGGACGGATGGATGGAGAGAT